TGAAAATAAGGGTAATTTTGTTGTATTGCCTTAAATATTTAATATTTGGTACATTATGTAAGTATGAGCTTGGTCAAATGGGCCAGAAAAATGGGCTGTCCAAAACAATTAAAAGGAAAAAAGATATCTTTTGGATATTTTTTTATATTTCGGTTCAGTTTAAACTTCATAGTCAAATTTTAGCAACACTAGTATGTGGAAGTTCCTCTCTATGATTTGGGCATATGGCTCTACGGAAATGGATATTCACCCGTTCGGTCCACTTAACACAGTCTAAGTAATTTTTATCCCCTTCAAAATTTAATTTACATGACCTCATATCTCAAATAATTGATGAAATATTCATATTCTACGATGACATATACATGAATAAAAAATATGATACATATAATTTTCTTGAAGACATTACACTAAAAAACTAAACATAGACAGAGCCATCTAAAAAATATTTGGTTTTTTATTCATGTATATGTCATCGTAGAATATGAATATTTCATCAATTATTTGAGATATGAGGTCATGTAAATTAAATTTTGAAGGGGATAAAAATTACTTAGACTGTGTTAAGTGGACCGAACGGGTGAATATCCATTTCCGTAGAGCCATATGCCCAAATCATAGAGAGGAACTTCCACATACTAGTGTTGCTAAAATTTGACTATGAAGTTTAAACTGAACCGAAATATAAAAAAATATCCAAAAGATATCTTTTTTCCTTTTAATTGTTTTGGACAGCCCATTTTTCTGGCCCATTTGACCAAGCTCATACTTACATAATGTACCAAATATTAAATATTTAAGGCAATACAACAAAATTACCCTTATTTTCACTCACCCTTATCGTTTTTGTTGCTCGAGGAATTAAAAAAAAAAAAAAGAGTAAAACAAATCATATTAAAATCCAACGGAATATGTGATATTATTATGATGCTACTCTGTATATTTCGTTTGCTTGGTTGTGTTTAACCAAAGTTTATAGTTTATAAGGTGTCTGCTCAAACTTTCTTTGACATCACAAGCAAGACACAAACACAGTTCATAGGGTGTCTTGGAAGCATATCTGCCGTCCTAAACGTGAAGGGGATCTCGGTCTCTTCCGCTTGGAGGATGCTAACATATGTTTACGGCTTCGTCTCATATGGATTATGCAGTTCAGTAACAGAAATTCGATATGGGTTGATTGGACATGGAAAAACACGATTCGTAAGTATGGCTTTTGGGATATGCCTGCGACCGCAAACGTTCCTTATAACTTTTGGGCTACTCGCATCTCTCTACTTAATTGGTATTTCGTTTATATAAAACAAGTACGCAGAATCCAAGTGTAATTTGCGTCTTTATTTTTTTTTTTTTGGTTAAACCGGATTTTTTTATTTCAAGCCGGTAGAATCCGGTTCTGATATTCTCAAACTGGATCCGGTTAAAGAGAAGTTTTTAATGGGCCTAAAAGCCCAAACACTTGCAAAGAGAACAACCGTCCAAAGGGTAGTGTCATCGCCATTAGATAGTGTGATATCCAGTAAATAGATACGTACCTGTACGGCCTTGTCGGAATGCGCTGGTGGAATTCTTTGGGGTTCCCCAAAGCTAAGGCCCGTTTGGGCCAATAAAGTCGACGAGGCTGCCAAAAGGTGACCAAGTTATCATACCAGAAAGAGGAACGTTTCCCACAACCTAGTCTTGTGGAGAAGAATTGCTTCGCCCATATTAATGGATTTTTGAGCAAGTTAATAAGGTCACTCATAAAAAATCGAAGTCCAAAACATAGATCTCTATTCTAAATTATTGGTATTTAGGATGATTCTAAACTTAAAAACATAGAATTATATAGGTATCTTATATTCAAGATAATTCACCGAAATATATCCAACAAGTTCTAATGCATTTTATTTATTTCAAAATTTAATAAAATTAATTATAGAAGAGCATATTTTTATTTTTATTTTTATTTTATAGAAGATAAATAGACATGCTTAGTATAATACATGTATATTATTTAAAAGATTGTTATAGAAAAAAGACTCCCAAACTTTTTCAAATATGTTAAACTTGAAGATTTAGTTATTAATAATTAAAAATACAACATACATTTATGAGATGTATATATAACAACAATATGTTTCAATGTTTCAGCGAGAACAAAAGAGATTAATAATCTTCTAAGTTATCCTTTTTATGATGCATTGGTTTGAATAATGGAATCCAAAAAAAAAAAGAATTCGACAACAGGACAATTGTTTTTCACAATATATTGTCACCAAGATCATGTTAAGTTTTCACAACATCGAGAATTGCGGGATTTTCTTAGAAAAATTATGGAAGAATCAATATCATATCATATATATATATTATATGAGGATAAACAATAAAGAGAATAAAAATAATTAAAATATTAATTATTTAATAAAATATGTTTAAAGTAACACATATAAAACACACCAAATTAAATACAAATGTACAAATTGATCATCAGTGAAATAATGTTATATTCACAAAATTAATGATAGAAAAAAGTCTCTAAATAACTGAAATTATAGATAAAAGTATACAAATCATTTGAGTTACAACTTTTTATCAAATTCTAAATACAAACAAATATGATAAATTAAAATAGGTATTCTAGATTTTCAAAACACATTTATTTTTAAATATAGAAACCTATAACCAATAAAATGTATCCAATTTACAACCTATCAAATAATAACATATAGTAAAATTTTAAATTTCATATTTACAATCAATAAAATATAATGAATTTTAAATATAACAAATCTAAAATGAAAGATTTTTAAAAAAAATTATATAGTTAATGGTCTTTTTTATTCAAAATTAATAATTGATGATTTTTGGGTGAAAGTAAAAAACTTGAAGATTTTTTTTGAGTTTGTTCCAAAAAAAGTGTTATAAGCAAATCGTTTTGCAAATACAGGAGTGTGATATTTAAAACTCATTGATTCTGTAATCAAACTGATATGAGTTTCTATTTTTTTTTTCCAAATTTGAATCCGACGAAGACAAATATTTTGTTTTTTTTTTCATGATTATTGTTTAACTGGAAATAATTTCAACTATAAACTATAACCTCCAAACAAGATGTTGTTTTAAACTACAATAAAAGAAAAACATGTGTGGCAGTTGTGGGGCCCTTAGTCGCCTAATTGTGGGTCCCACAAGCAGTTCCAAGAAATACGACGCCTCTTCGTTGACCGCACTTTCCGAGTTTTTGATGCATGGCATCCAAACCCCATTGTGAAGTTGTTGAATATAAATATAAAATAACAAATAATCAACCAACAACATTTAACTCCATTATAAAATCGTTTAATCGAGAAAAATAATATGGAGAAATTAAAAAATTGATACCATTAAATAGAAATAAAACCATTTTCATTTTAACCCCATGTTGTTGTGAGAAAACTTAAGCAAAAAGAGAGAACATATTTTTATTTA